TAAATAGTTCACACCTTTTAATAATTAGATCACCCAAAGTTACACTTTTGTCACTAGAGCTACTACTACTAAAATTACATTCCATGTATTCAATAACAAAATTATACGCTAAAGTAAAATCTAATATAGTTCTACCTTCTTCACTAATCACTCCAAAACCGTAGCCACCATGAATATTTTTAAAATCTTCTACCTACCGACATGTTCATTTAAATCTCCTTCAAAAAAAACTCTTTCTTCAAAAGGTATCATTCGTATTAAGTCTTCTAAGTCATTCCAAAATTTATCTTTAGAACCTATATCTAAACCTACTTGAGAAGCATAAACACTTAAAATATTAAAAATCTTACTATCAACAATAATTTTAAGGGCTATAATTCTATCTCCAACTATATTAATTTTTACAACTTTATCTTTCACTCTTATCTATAATTACACCAACCCTATTTCTAGTGCGACTTTTACATGAATACCAAAGTTTAAAATCTAAGTTATCAATTTCTTTAGCCTTTTCTCCTACCTACTTAGTTTCTTGAACACATAAGAGATTTATCTTTCTATGAATCATAATATCAACACATAAGAAATCAGTATCTCAAAAAAAAAAAAAAAATGGAGTTCTAGTATTCACCGTAAACCAAAGAAAACATATTAAGTAAATAAAATGAACATTAGTCATAGTATATCCATTTGTCATTAACAAAATTAGACACCCAAACTATGAAATTGATTCTCATTATCTTAAAAAGTACATAAAAAAATCAGACTTTCTATAAAATAATAATTATGGGCCAGTTAACAGTTTAACTAAATAAAAAAGTTATGTAAACATTTATTCGACTAAAAAAGACTGTCTAGTTTTAGGACCTTCCAAACTTTCATTTAACAAGACATTTTGCCATATAACCAACCCTTTTAAAGTACATTATGTTCTATTCAGACTTATTATATTACTTATTTCTTATGGGAAATTTGCAAGGACAGCACAACAAGTACAACTAAATTCAAATCTATCAGTTCCGAGTAGATTTCATTTCAAATGATTATCATTTTGATCTATTTTAGTTCCCATCACTATTTAATTTCTTCTGAAAACTTGAAATTTTTGACATAAAACATGGTATAAATAAGAACTCGCATGAGACAAAAATAAAACTCTCCACAATTAATCTCATGATTTCATTCCTTCTAGAAATTATTAATTCATTACATTTTAGTAAAAACAAGTGCTCATAAACATAAGATATGATTACCATTCTCTAAGAGAAAGAAAAACAAATTGAGAAAGGGAGAAAAACTGATCATATAATGAAGAATAAAATATGAAAATACTACTAATTGTAAGGAGTTCTTCAAATGTTTGATATAGGATCTAGCTATTAATTTCAAGTTTCCAATCTTGAGAATTTTTATTTTTATTTATTTATTTATGTTACCTTCTTTGAACTAATGAAATGCA